ACCCCCCCCCACACACACACACACTTCAGCACACACACGCTCGACAGCAGACAAACAAACAAACACCCCAAAAGCGGACATTAAGTCAAAAACTCACCGGTTCATTCCAGACACAACGTTCATAGGAATCCACTTCAGGTTATCCCTCTGTTGAGCCATAGCTGCTTCTTCGTCCAGAATTTTCTGCAAGCTCTCCGAAACACCGAACTCGGCCATGGTTCAAGGGGTGGGCAGCCACGCTTAATTAAAATTTCAACCCGCCCCCCCAAAAAACAAGAAAAAAACAAACACACAAAAAACCCCCACGAAAAAACACACAGCCTGCAAAACCAGAAACAATAGAAATGTGTCTACTGTCCTGAAAACGTCCAAGAAACGATACTTTCAGTTGTGACAGTTCTCCCAGAAAATCGGATATGTTTCGGCGAAACTTCCATTCGAAAAGAAAATTATATGGAAGAAACTTTTTAATAAACTCAGTCAGCAGACGAGCAGTTTACATGAAGTCTTCTTGGTCAGACAGGTGCTTGCAATTCTTCTTGTGTCCGGGAGACGGCGTAGTCCGGTTCTGTGAAGACGATTGACAGATTTCCAACAAGGACCCTGGAGAAATGGAAATACATTTTAATTAATTAATATGACAAGTATTAAGACTTTTTTCCCCGCAACACTTAAAGGTATAAGCGGTGGATTAAAGAAAAGTAAAGGCCAGCTCCTACTGGAGACAATTAGCAGGAAGACCCTGAGGTGGACGCTGGAAAGGAGAGATGAGCAGCTATGGACATGTGCCGCCTGCTATGATTCTAGCTCTGGATCCAAGTAATCTAAGTAAAAGTAAAGACAAGTATTGATACAAAGATAGATTGATACTTGGTAGCTTTTAAGCACACGGTGGCTATCCCGAAAAATACTGATTTTGAGAAAATCGACGGTAATGTTTTTGGACCCTTGTTCAGTTTCTTTAAAAGACAAGGAGAGTTTCCTCTATAACTAAACAAATACACTCCAATGAAACCAAACTTCTCCTATAGGTAGGACAATGCCCACTTTTGGTGTAGGTCAAGATTTCTCGAAACCCCGAAATCTGGTTTAGTCCGCTTGTCCTTAAAAGTGACGGATTGACTCTTGCTGTTTCTTCGATGACGTAACGGCCACAACATATTTGTTTTATTGTTTCAGTAAGAGTTTTACGGCACTTGCAACACAAATAGGTCATATAAGTGCCGAAGATTACAAGAGAGTAACAAACGCAAAAAAGGAGGAGAGATCAGAACGATAGATGTTTGGTAGGAAGGAAGGAGCAAACCACACCAAAGCACCTGCCAACCACCCACGGACACAGCATAATATGTCCGACAGTAGACCTAGGCCAAACAGCGTACCCCGCGGGTCGTGCCACTGACCGAGGTGTCTTTAGGCCATTCCCAACGGGGGGACATTTCTCGTTCATGCACAGTAGAATTGTAAATGGGCTGATTCATCAATGTCACTCTCATAACTGTGCCTGATCTACAACAGGGAACTGCTGCTTTTTCTTTCCTAATCCTTACTATCGTCATTTTTCCTCTACCTATTTTGTATGTTTGTCACGCTCTTGCGACCAGCTATTTCCGGGGTGCCTTGAAAGTCGGAACAGACTTTGTGCTGTTGAAGCTAGAGAGGTGAGCAGAGTAAGTCTGATTCCCAGTAAAGACTTCCCTGTTGACATCCACCCCTTGGCGCTCATATGACCTAATGCAGTTGCGAGTGCCGTAAAACCTCTACTGAATAAAATAAATTTAAAAAAGACAAAACAGTTTGGAGTTGTCGCACACTTTGAACTATCACAGACTGAATAATATGTCCGACAGTATTGAAGACCTAAACCAAACACGCAAACTTTGAACTATCACAGATGTCTGACAGTACTGTAGACCTAAATCAAACACGCACACTTTGAACTATCACAGATGTCCGACTGTATTGTAGATCTATAAGAAACACGCACACTTTGAACTATCACAGATGTCCGACTGTATTGTAGATCTATAACAAACACGCACACTTTGAACTATCACAGATGTCCGACAGTACTGTAGGTCTATAAACACACACGCACAATTTGAACTATCACAAACAGATCAGAAACGCGAATTTGCATACTTCATAGTTCATAGTATACATGTTGTAGTTGTCTTTTTGCTTTTGAAGTTTCAGATAAAGAAACAACTGGAAAAAGAAAACGAGGAAGACTAACTGTAAGCTATAGAGGCAGAATAACTTATAAGTGATTAGGCAATCACCCAGAGCCTGGATGTGCCGAAATTGGAGGACGTGGCCAGGGACAGACAAGCGTGGCGTCGACTGCTCTCTGCCTTATGTACCTGACGGTACAGGGAAGAAGGAAGTAAGCAAGATAAAGAAAAGCTAATTGAAATAATCCGTGTGTGTGTGTGTGTGTGTGTGTGTGTGTGTGTGTTTGTGTGTATGTTTGTGTGGGTGTTTGTGTGGGTGTGTGGGTGGATGCCTGCGTGTCTTTGTGTGTGCGTGTGTGTGTGCGTGTGTG